TTTTCTTAAACAGTAGAGGGAATTCCCTGGCGGTCCAGTGGTTAGGACTCCTCGCTTCCACTGCAAGGGGCACAGGTTCCATCTCTGATTGGGAAACTAAGATGCCGCATGCTGTGTGGCATGGCCAAAAATTAAAAATAAATAAAAATAAAATAAAACAACAGAAATTTATTCTCTCACAGTTAAGGAGGCCAGAAGTTTCAAATCAAGGTGTTGAAAGGATTGGTTCCTTCTGGAGGCTCTAAAAGAAAATCTGCTTCATGCCTCTCTCCTAGTTTCCAATGGTTGCTGGAAATCCTTGGTGTTCCTTTTTTTTTATATATTTTATTTTATTTTAAATTTTTATTGGCGTATACTTGATTTACAATGTCGTGTTAGTTTCTGGTGGGGTGCATTTGGTTTTATTACCATCGACTTCAATGGTCCAAAGAAGAACCTCAAACTTGGGATCAACACATTTGGCTAAAGTATTGGTATCTGCCCCAAGGGTTGAAGTGCCTGCCCTCCTGGTCACAAATGTGTGTCCTTTATGGGTGGAGAGTTGGCCTAGATGACATATTAAGTCAATTCCAGCTTCAAGTTCAGTTTTTAAAACAAGACATTGAAGGGAGAGAACCAATCGTTGTGCCACTTTGATTAGATATAACACAGAAGCCCAACTCTCTCCCTCTCTCTCTCTCTCTCTATCTCTGTCTCACTCACACACACGCACACACACGCATGCACGCACACGCGCGCGCGAACACCTTTACTCTCCTCAAACAGTCAGGAGGTGGCGCATCGTTATCCCGCTTCTGCCTTCCTTCCAGGCACCACTCACTCGCATGTGTAACACACACATCCTCCCTTTTCTCCCTCCTGTAATCTGGCTTCTTGGATCCCAGGAGACCTATGTGACACTTTTTTCCTACTCCCCATCTGGAAGGGGACAGCCTTCCCTATAAACCAAACACCTACGCAATTAGGGCAGAGAAAAGTTTGCATGGGGTCTCCAGAGAGGGACTGGAAGCTCTCTAATTAGCTGACTCTCTCCCTCCTTCCCCTGGGGTCCTGCTACTTTGATTTTCACTGCTGAGACCACACCCAGAGCCTTGGGAAGTGCAGCATCCCCTTCACAAACGGCCAGGCATAGACAAGACCCAAAGCCCCACCCAGACTAGACTAGAATATCGGAAGGAATTAGCTTCGTCAAACAAACAAAAACAAGAACAGCGAATGGAAAAATGAAAATGAAACAATATGGCAAGACTTCAAACAGCAAGTTCTCAAAGAAAGCAGGTAGTGGGGTAGAGGTGATAGATTATTTACATGATATACAAGCTAATTAATTAAATGTTATATGAAAACTTTTTTTCAATGAAACATAAAACTGATAAAACTTGTAGAGATTAGTTTCTGAGCTTACATATACGGATCACAGCGCATGGCACTCCACTGCTTCCTACGCTATATGGCCCAGCCCAGAGAATAGCTATTTTGAACTTGTGAGCATTTTCCCCTACCATTGACTTCTTCATGAAACTCCTTCCAGAAGAGATGCCCTGATCACAAGGATCCATCTGGGGAAACTATGGATATGGTGGAAATCAATTCATTGATTGGACAAACCCTGGGCACCTGCTTTGTTTTTTTTGTTTTGTTTTGTTTTTGTTTTGCGGTATGCGGGCCTCTCACCGCTGTGGCCTCTCCCGTTGCGGAGCAACAGGCTCCGGACGCGGACGCGCAGGCTCAGCGGCCATGGCTCACGGGCCCAGCCGCTCCGCGGCATGTGGGATCCCGGACCGGGGCACGAACCCGTGTCCCCTGCATCAGCAGGCGGACTCTCAACCACTGCGCCACCAGGGAAGCCCTGTTTTTTTTTTTTAATTGAAGTATAGTTGATTTACAGTGTTGTATAACTTTCTGCTTGTACAGCAAACTGATTCAGTTATACAAATATATACACATTGTTTTTCGTATTATTTTCCATTATGGTTTATCACAGGATACTGAATAGAGTTCCCTGTGCTCTACAGTAGGACGTTATTGTTTATCCATGCTATATATAATAGCTTGCATCTGCTAATCCGAAACTCCCAGCCCATCCCTCCCCCTTGGCAACCACAAATCTGTTCTCTGTGTCCATGGGTCTGGTTCTGTTTCATAGATAAGTTCATTTGTGTCATATTTTATTTTATTTTTAATAATTTTATTTATTTATTTTTGGCTGCATTGGGCCTTCGTTGCTCTGAGCAGGCTTTCTCTAGTTGCGGCGAGCGGGGGCTACTCTTCGTTGTGGTGCGTGGGCTTCTCATTGCGGTGGCTTCTCTTGTTGCGGAGCACGGGCTCTAGGCGCACGGGCTTCAGTAGTTGCAGGACGTGGGCTCTAGAGCGCAGGCTCAGTAGTTGTGGCGCACGGGCTTAGTTGCCCCGTGGCATGTGGGATCTTCCCGGACCAGGGCTCGAACCCGTATCCCCTGCATTGGCAGGCGGATTCTTAACGACTGCACTACCAGGGAAGTCCCTGTGTCATATTTTAGATTCCATATATAAGCTATATCTTATGGTATTTGTCTTTCTCTTCCTGACTTCCTTCACTTAGTATGATCATCTATAGGTCCATCCATATTGCTGCAAATGGCACCATTTTGTTCTTTTTTTATACCTGAGCACCAGCTTGGATATCAAGTCTGTATGCACAGTGCTATCCCCACACTTCTCCAGGCCCCCATCAGCACAGAAACTGTGCAAGGGGGAAGGGTCCCAGCCCCCGTGATCACCCTCCCACCCACCCACACAAACAACCATGGAGACAACAATGCAGGAAGATTCCACACACCGTCTGTCTTCTGACCCCTTCCCCCAGCTCATCAGATTCTGCTCTTATGTGTTCCTACATAGACACCCACACACATGCATCCCTAACCCCTTGTTCTCCCTCCACAATTCTCTGTTAGGCTAAACTTCTCCAATACTTACTTTCATTCCTGGTTCCTTTCGGTTGCCTAGTCTAGTATCTAACTCTCATTCCAAAGACAATACCACCTGTGTCCAGCAGGTGTCGCCCTTTACTGAGAACGAAGAGCACCTCTCTTCCGCTGTGTGAAATCCAGCCCCCAAGGTGGATTCCCCCTTGGGTTTGGGGTGGAAGGGAATGTAAGGGGGGCTCTGAAGAGTGGTGTGCTCGACAGCATGAGGGTCCTCAGAATACAGCAGCCTAGTTACTTGCAACTCAGGTAGACAGACATCCTACAGAGAATTTGCTGTTCAACCTTGGACAAGTTATTTAACCTCTCTGAACCTCACTTTCATCTGTGACTCAGAGGGAGACCATCCTTCCTTACCAGGTGATTGTGGAGAATGAATGAGATACAACATAAAGCACTTAGCCCAGTGCCTAGGTCGTGATAAGCACTCGAGTTACGGTCCCTTTCCCACGTAGGTTATGGAAGAAATAACTGCCCGGAACTCAGATCAGAAATTGAGCTCTTCCCCTTGAATACTGACTATCTGAGGGTCTGGGTCAGAGTTGTGATGAGGATCAGATGAAACAATGCATGTAAAGCACCTAGTAGAGCACCTGGCCCAGAAAGTTGTGACTGATATGTCACGAGTGTGGGCTGGCTGTGTGCCAGGTAATGTTCTCAGCCATTTACAAGTATGAACTCATTTAATCCTCATTAAGATCCCTTATGAGGTCAGAAAACTGTTAACCCCCTCCTATCCCTGACTCTGACTCCATCCCACCACAGTTTATTACCTTCTTAAGAATTATCCATCAGGAAACTGTCCCCAGTTCTGTCATGTCTAGATGGGAAAATGGGAGAAAACACTCCTCGACTGCAGTAGGAGAGGGAATCAAGCCCAGCCCCTAACTGCCTATAGTCCCTCCTCAGGGCCTCAAGAAAAAGCATGGAAAAAACTGTATTTCCACCAGAGTTTATTCCTCAGAGCCGATCACCAGCGACTCATGCCTCTGTAGCACAGGGGGCCCCCAAGAGGGCCTTTGACCTTTCTCCCCAGATTATATTCACCCCAGATACATAGCCTTGGGCTCTACCTATGGACAACACCTTGGTTACAGAATATTCCCAGGAATGAGTTCCCCAAGTTGTAAGGTTTCCATAGCGGGGACTGGGAAATTCAAAGAATCAAATAGAGAAACCATAGGATCCAAGAAAATGTGGAAGCTTGGACGGGCTGGAGGAGCACAGCAGCGTCCTTAAGAGTTTGAATCTCCTCACGTGGAGAGGAACTTGTAGGATTCTGCCTCTAGGAAATGTGCTGACCTGCAGAAGAAATGAAAACAAGGTAATAAAGCTCCAAACCAACTTGACCCCGTCGTTTGTCCCTATAACCATCCATGCCAGAGCCTTTAATACAGTGATATGGAAAATTCTAGATCACCAAACACTAAGGAGCCACCTTCAGACACTCCGTTGGGTAGAAGAGAAGGGGGTAGGTGCTCCTCCCTTCTGTTCCTGATCCCAGCAACGGCTGCTTCAATCACACTGTCAGCCCGAGGCTGGTGGACGCTCATTCCCGCTCCAAATATCAGCACCATTAGCTGAACCTAACGGTGACTCCCTCTAACTTTCACCCGCTCCAAAGGACCAGCAGGCAGACAGACCAACAGACACATTACCTTCTGGATAATTGGACCCTGGGAGGAAAACGAAGCCTAGGAGAAGAAAATATTTGAGTGGAGGACAGTCTTGGTGGATTAAAGTCTCTGGTATTATTCACAGCCAATGGGGTAGCCATGGGAGAACCAGTCACAAACAGAAAGTGAACAGAGGGACTTGCCTGGTGGTCCAGCGGTTAAGACTCTGTGCTCCCAATGCAGGGGGCCCGGGTTCGATCCCTGGCCAGGGAACTAGAGACTGCATGCTGCGACTAAGAGTCCGCATGCCGCAACTAAAGATCCCCCATGCTGGAACTAAGACCCAACAAAGCAAATCAATTTTTCTTTTTTTACTTTTTTAATGTGAGCAGAGGTTGGGATTGAGAGTTCAGGAGGGTCACTCACCAGAGGAGGCAGCTCTCCGCCAGCTGAGCAAACCAACAGAGAACATGACGAGGCCCAGGCCCAGAGTCACAGCGCACGCGGAAACCTTCACTGTCCGCACTGGCGACAGCCCAGGGGCTGCGGAAGTAGAAACTTACTAGAACCAATTTCTCTTTGCTCATTCCCAGAGCAATTTCATTTACTGCGACCTCCACCTCAGGTTCAAAGGTGCTTTATCCGGACCCCAAGGGTCTAGCTCACACCCATCCAGGCCCAAGGAAGTGGCCTTTCCTCAAAACCCCCATCCCGTGGGTCTCTACTCCCATGGTTCCCTGGGGAGCCGCTCTCCCTGAGTTAGTACCCCTGCTTCCAGATCCTCTCTAAGATGGTGGGGCCTCTCAAGGCATCCTGTAGTTTTCCTTCACCCCAATAGCACCCTTGCTGAGGAATACAGCGTTCCCCATCCCTCTCTCCATTTGCCTGTGGTGACAATACTTGCTCCCTTGACCACTCTATCTGAGCATTTTCCTATGAAATTGTCTTTCCGCCCTTCCTAACTTTCCAAGGTTTCATTCCATGAGTTATCCAAGTACTTATGTGTCTCCTACCTGCCCACTTCCGGATTTGGGTCCTTCCAGAACCTGCCTCCACCCCCGTCCACAGCCCTCACTTCCTGGAGCTGGCCCTAGTCCGAATCCTGTCCCCCACCCGGATTCCTTTCCTTTAACTACTTCCAGTCCCGGGGTTCAAACAATGGTGACCAGCTTTAAGCAGTAGCCTCCAAGCATGTACACCAAAGTGTCTGCCAGCCCTGGCTTCTCCATCCCTGATAGAGCAGCCCCAATTCAGTATGGCGCCCAGACCGAGAGAGTCCCCTTTCTTCTGTGACCTTCTTTATTTCTCCAACTCCCATTCCTGACCTGACAACAGAATAGCGGAAATCCGAGAATCCTAGAATATTGCATCACAATTTTGGCTTCTGAAAATATGGTTACCAAATCGACATCCTCTTTTCAGGACAGTCAGGCTCCCCTCCCACCCTCGGACAAGCACATAACACCAACCACAGCACCATAGCAACAGCAACAGTAACTCTTGTTATGCGTGCAGGATCTTCCCCGACCAGGGATCGAACCCCGTGACTCCTGCACTGGAAGCTCGGAGTCTTAACCACTGGACCGCCAGGGAAGTCCAACAATAACTAACTCTTTCCGTGTCTGTATCCCCTGGCCCCATCTCTGGTCGTGAACCCTCCGTAAGTTCCTCCAGACTCACTCTTTCTGAGCATCTCCCTCTCTCCCCGGTACCGTGGAGGACCTCTCTACATCCCATTCCCTCTGCCAAAACATTGGTGTTCTTTTTACAACCACCCACCTGATGTAGCTCTCTTGTTTTGTTTTGTTTTGGCCACGCTGCACAGCATGTATGATCTCAGTTTCCCAACCAGGGATGGAACCCATGTCCCCCGCAGGGGGAAGCGCAGAGTCCTAACTTGACCGCCAGGGAATGACAGTAGCTCTCTGCTTTGACGCTAATTCCTCCCACCTGCCCCACACTTACTCCAGTCCTGAAGGATGGGTTCAAGAGTGCCAGTGTGCTGTACCACACAGGTGTAGGTGTCCCCAAAAGAGGGGGTTGTGGCCAAATGGGAGACGGTCTGGTATGTCCAGTCTCCGTTGGGCTGGATGATCTTATAGGCGCTGCCATGAGGGAGGACCAGCTGCCCGTTCTTCCTCCACGTGATGGTCACATCAGCTGGATAGAAGCCCCACACGTAGCAGGCCAGCACCACAGTCTCCCTCGTGTTAAAAGGAGTGGTTTTAACTACTTGCACAGATGGCGGTCCTGCAGAGGAGGAAAAAAGAGTCACGAAGGAGGGCAACATTCTGGCTTTTCCTCCAACCTGGTTTCTTTCCTACTTGAATTCTTCCTGGATTTTGTCCACCGACCTTCCCAACCCCGACCTCATTCCCACACACATCCCTTTGAAAATGAGGGGTTAGAATGTACTCCTGCTTCACTCTTCCTTGCCTCCCATTTCATCACTGCTCCTTCCTTTTTCCTCCAAAATTATATTTGTTCACAATAAGTAGAAGCCAGGGCTGAAGTGCAGGCTGTTTCAGAAGTCGTTGTATTAATTTCAAGTGCATAAGTGAATTGTCATCCAGAGTTATAGTGGGGGGTTTGCAAAAGTAGGAAAACACCCTTGTCCTCAAATCTCATTGAACAAATTGACTTGATAAAGAAAGCCTTTTTTTTTTTCCTTGAATAGTTTAAGGAAACAAGACTAACTCAGGACTAACTCTCCTAAATTTGGACAAGGGAATCCTAATTCATGAGATCATTCATGTTGCCATCTTTTAATAGTTTATTTTTCTAGGTGACCCTTCCGCTTGCTTGGGTGTTTTTCAAACAAAATATTCAATAAAAATCCAAGATATTGTGTTAAGATACAGATTCCCGAGCCTGCATCCCTGGATATTTTCATCCAACAGATCTGTAGCGGTTCTCAAGGGCTTGTGTTTTTAACAAGCACCTTCCCCAGGCAATTCTGAGAAATCACATCTTAAGACACAGTATTCTGTACGATAGAGAACTTCAAGTTTTCTTTTAAAAATCTCAAGTCATTCTCAGGGCTTCCCTGGTGGCACAGTGGTTGAGAGTCCGCCTGCCGATGCAGGGGACACAGGTTCGTGCCCAGGTCCGGGAAGATCCCACATGCCGCGGAGCGGCTGTGCCCGTGAGCCATGGCTGCTGAGCGGGCGCGTCCGGAGCCTGTTGCTCCACAACGGGAGAGGCCACAACAGTGAGAGGCCCGCGTACCGCAAAAAAATAAAATAAAAATCTCAAGTCATTCTCAATGCAAGTGATTAAGGGTGAGAGAGTTTGCATCAGAATCCCCTGGGAGGTTTTCCAAATATTCCCATGCCTGGGCCTGTCTCAGACCTGGGACACCAGAACCTGGGCTACAGTGGCAGGAGCATTTTGGGAAAAGCCATTCTGGTTATTCTGACAGTTCAACCCCTGGTTGAACTTGGATCTGCCTCCTGAGATGCCCTAAATTGAAGGAAAAGTAGCTTACTCTCCCCACGATAGCTCCTCACTGGCTCAAACATCACCTCCCCTTTTTCATTCCTGCCCTACCCCTGTCAACCACCTTGTGTCCTCGTAAGGGTCAACCCTCCCTCTTTTTACAACCCAGGTCCTCCGATTTTCTGTTTCTTTCCTGCCCACAGCTCAAACCCCTTGCAGGTGAGGGACCCTTCTTGGCCTCCCCTCTCCTAACTGTGCTTCCTAACCATCCCTCTGCTCCCTTCTCGCCTTACGTGTCCTGTGGGTCAGAGATCTCCAGAAGGGCTGGGTGTGTGTGGCACAGTCCTGCAGCCCATTGGATAAGCGTTGGATCAGGTTTTCCTTATGGTTGAGGTAATCTGAGAGGTATTTGGCCAAGCTGTTCAGTACCCCAAATTCACAAGGGACCATACTGGCCTGCAGGGGATCCCAGCAGGTCAGCAAATCCTTGTTGAAGGAGATACAGTATGTGAACTCTTTTGGAGTCCCATCGTCATCCAGCAGACAGGTGCTTTCCACGTGGGCCACAAAGCCTCCTGCAGGAGCCAGAGAAGGGGGAGAGGTCAGAGTCCTCTGCAGGAGCCCAAGCCTCAGTTACACCTGGTGAGTGGGGCACAGGTTTCCCGACTGAGGCAGCATCTGCTGACCAAGCTCATGGACCAGAGTCTCTGAGAGTCCCGATTAAGGGCATAGATGGTCCTAGCAGAGAAGTTTCTAGATCCTGTTTCCTCTTTATGTGAGACTAAGCATGGGGACACAAGTAGCCCAAAATTATTTGCATGTTTAAACACAACAATTTACCCAGGATAAGACCTTCAGTAAGGCCAGTGATCGAGTGAGAAAAGGGGTCAAAGGAAAGAGTCAGCCTTGTTCTGTGCTGGACACATTATTAAATATTCGTGCCACATGTATTTCTGAAGCACTCGCTGTGTGCTAGGCACCGTGCTAGGAGCTGGGGATGCAGCATTCAACAGGGCAGATATCGTCTTTGCCTACCTTCCAACAGGAAATGTCTATTACACGAATAATTATACAGCTTAATTACATTAAAATTGCTACACAGAAAAACAACAAGGTCCTACTGTGTAGCACAGGGAACTATAGTCAATAGCCTGGGATAAACCGTAATGGAAAAGAATATTAAAAAAGAACGTACACATGTGTATAACTGAGTCACTTTGCTGTACAGCAGAAATTAACACAACATTGTAAATCAACTAAACTTCAATAAAAAAATAAATTAAAAAAATTGCTACAAAGGTACAGTACAAAGTGCTACGGGAGTATGTAATAGGGAGGCAGACTAGTTTGGGGTATCCGAATCCAATAACAAAACTGAACACCCTACCCAAAGGGAGCAGAGAAAGGGAGGATCCTTACCTGCTCCGGTGCAGCCCAGGCTGAGGCCCAGCAGCAGCGGCAGGAGGGCAGTCATGCTCTCCTCGGGGGAGACACGGGGAATCCTGTCCCCTGGATCGCTCTTCCAGGGGCCCTGGGTCCTTGCCTGCCCGAGAAGTCCCAGCCTGGGTAGATGATCTCCAAACACTGAGTGGGAGTATGGTTATTGCCGGGGCCCCTCGATGCTCTCTAAATGAGCGATTTGGAGCTACCAAGCCCTTAGATACTATACCTGTTCCTTACCTGATCATCTAACTCAGTGTCCCAAACTGAGAACTGTCAGATTGGCTAGGTAGGTGGGGACAAGTGTAGAGACAAATCGCTGAGCGCCTCCGCTCATCATCATCAGTTACTAGGTAAATCTCATCCTGCCCTGGGCTTTTAACAACTGGTCTCTTTAACTCTCCTAAGGAACAGTCTGTAGGTGGATTTCCCTAGCTCAGTGGAGAGAATAAACCCAATATTCCCAAGATGTATGCAGCCTGGACTGCCCACTGGTTTAACTGTTTTCGCTCAAGGTCCTCCTCAAAGACTGGGGACTAGGTAACCTCTCTTTCTCCTTTAAGGGAAGTTACTTGGGAATTTATCCCTTGATTACATATTCCTTGGTCTGTCCTGTCACCCAGGAAACAGGCGGACAAGGGGCCCTTCTGGGGCATGTGGTAGAGGCAGGGCTGCTAAGGAAGGAGATGTAGGGAGAGTGCAGTTAGCTGGTCTCAAAGCAAGACTGCAGAAGAGAAACAGTTCCTGAGAGATCAGGGCCACAGCCCTGAAAAATCCCTCCCTGGGCTTCCATTGCTTCATCTGTCCTAGGCAGATGAGCTTCATTTTCTCCTTTCTGCTTTTGTAAGCCAGAAACCCGAACCCCCTACCCTCTGAACCATCTCAGAGCAGACAGCAGAGCAGACCTCAGGGCAATACCACTTAACCCCCTTGATAATTAGTTGGTGATGGGCCAATGCCCAAAGCTCACTTGTCTCCCCCAAACTCAAAACTCCCCTATGTGTTTCCCCCACAGGTCCCATCTGTCCTGGGGCAGGTCCCTACGTTATGAAGCCACTAGAAAAATGAGATCCCTACTTTTCTTCCCCAGGAAAAGACAAATTTTAAATAGCAATTCATTCTCATTGTGAACTATACGATTGATAGATTTTCCCATTACAAATGTAAAACCCTAAATTGGTTTCTCTGTGCTCCCCACTAGGCTTCATGGCTGCCTCTCCTCACCTTGCTTTCTTTTTAAAATATATATATATATATTTTTAGCTGTACCAGGTCTTAGTTGCGGCACATGGGATCTTCGTTGCCACATGCGGGATCTTTTTAGTTGAGGCACGCAGGATCTATTTCCCTGACCAGGGATCGAACCCAGGCCCCCTGCACTGGGGGCATGGAGTCTTAACTGCTGCACCACCAGGGAAGTCCAAGCAAGTTTCACCTTGCTTTCTGAAAGCTCTTGAATTTGACTTGATAGTGAGCTAAATAAAAGATTAGGAGGGAAGCCCTTGACGCTACATTTACCTGTCCTCCTTCCAAGTCCCTGACCCCCAGAGAATCTGATATTTATGAAGAAAAAAGGAAGAGGGGGAAGCTTACCCCCAAGATGAAAACATACATGAATATCAGGAACAAAAGAGTTGTTTTGTGTAACTAGTTGAGCTTCACTGAAGCTCTGCCCACGTTCCCCCCCACCGCACCCATACGCTCAGCCCCACCTGGGTTATACCGCTACACTTGAACTTCTCTAATGAACCATTAAGGGTGTTGAATGGGCAGAAAATTGAGGAGGGGGAGTCCAAAGTTTGTTAAGCTTCTACTTTGTGACAGATACTATGCTAAGTCAATCCTTTACATGCTATCTCATTTAATCTTAAAAGACCTGGTGGCGCAGCGGTTGAGAGTCCGCCTGCCGATGCAGGGGACACGGGTTCGTGCCCCGGTCCGGGAAGATCCCACATGCCGCGGAGCGGCTGGGCCTGTGAGCCATGGCCGCTGAGCCTGTGCTCCGCGACGGAAAGGCCACAACAGTGAGAGGCCCGCGTGCCGCAAAAAAAAAGAGAAAAAAAAAAAAATGACCTGTTAATGGTCCTCACTTTACAGTTTGGAAAACAGGTCCAAAGATTCACACCCAAGGTCTCGAGGTACACACACCACACACACACACACACACACACACACACTTGAGTGTGCCCACACACTCACTACATCCTGGGACTGAGATGACCCAAGTAAAGGTAACTCGTGGAGGCCTCCGCTGAGAAGAGGAAAAAGGGAAAAGCCACCCCAGCCCTTCTGAGTCTCATCTTTCCGATGCTCAGAGTTCCTCCTGCTCTTAGAACTCGTGTCTCTTCCAGTTTTTCTTTCGACAGTCTCAAAACTGTGAATTCTCCTACACACACGCTCACTTCCCCCACTTACGTCTCTCCTCCTCCCTCCAGGTAGGCAGTGAACCTAACTTCAGGAACCAGGTCTTGGGATCCTTTTCAAGGTCCCCAAAGCCCGCCTGGCACAGGAATGCTTTCCACACAGGAGGGCCTGTGTGGCCCTCTGCCAGCTCCCTGAGGCTCAGCAAGCTCCCTCTCATGTCTGGCTCTCTGCTTGGGCAGCCAAAGGAGATGTGAAACCTTCCATAGGCAGCTGCAGGAAATGTAGACAATTTCACTTCTCTACTAATGAGAAGACTGAGGGTGCTATTTAGAATCAAGCTGGACAGAAAAACCCAGAGACCCGTGCTCAGCGAAGTGGTTTCCTCCTTCCCCTCTTCCTCCTAACCCTACTTCTTTTGTTGTTGTTGTTGTTACAGACATAGCTCTGTCCCCCACCTCTAGTCAACCCCAAAGAATGTTTCAACTGTCCTGTGCATTGCTGGTGATTGGATAACTATTTATGTAACACCCAGGACTGAAGCTGGGGAACCCCTGGCAGCTTCCCATATGCTGTCCCCCTTTTACTGCCACTACACAAGGGCCCAAAGAGTGAATCCCCTCCTTGCCCGCTGCCTCTTCTGCTAAGCTGGCCACCATAGGCCAGAATGGACTGACCATGGTGTTTACCTGCAAAGCATTACAGGAACTCCCAAGAGCTAAGAGATGTGGGATCCGTTCCCATGTCATTTGCTTACAGCTCGGTTGGGGAGTGAGAAGAAACATCTAGAGAGAGAAGAGTTTATGTTAATGCAAGTAAGCAATCAGGCCAGTGGACTTAAAAGAGAAAAGAGAAGACGTGTGTGTTTGGTGGACAGGAAATCCTCTCCATTGAGGGGAACTGGAAGTGGGCTGGATTCGTGTCGAAGAAGAGGAAGGCAGTCGGCATCCCGGTCTTGGCATATAACCACACGAGCTGGGCAATGTTATAAGGTGCTGTTGGGGGTCTAGCAGCTACCTGTACTGACAAAAACAAAAACGAACTGCAATGACATCATTGGCACCTTGAAAGAAGTCAGAAACGTGGTCTTATGCTTTTTCGAGAGTATGGCCATAATAAAAAATCTCTTCTAGGTCCTTCCTAACATCCCTCCCTGTACGTTCACAGGTTCCTCTTCTGGAAAGATAGTGTGTTTTTTTTAAATATATAAATTTATTTTATTTTATTTTATTTATTTTTGGCTGCGTTGGGTCTTCATTGCTGCTCATGGGCTTTCTCTAGTTGCGACCAGTGGGGCCTACTCTTTGTTGCGGTGCGTGGGCTTCTCATTGCAGTGGCTTCTCCTTTTTGTGGAGCACGGGCTCTAGGCACACGGGCTTCAGTAGTTGCAGCACACAGTCTCCAGTAGTTGCAGCACGTGAGCTCAGTAGTTGTGGCTCATGGGCTCTAGAGCGCAGGCTCAGAAGCTGTGGCGCACAGGCTTAGTTGCTCCGAGGCATGTGGGATCTTCCCGGATCAGGGCTCGAACCCGTGTCCCCTGCGTTGGCAGGCGGATTCTTAACCACTGCACCACCAGGGAAGTCCTGGACAGATGGTTTTAACTCAAGCCTCCATTTTTTTTTTTTTTGAAGATTTTGGGGATAGGAGTTTATTAATTAATTTATTTATTTTTGCTGCTTTGGGTCTTCATTTCTGAGCAAGGGCTATCTCTAGTTGTGGCAAGTGGGGGCCACTCTTCATCACGGTGCGTGGTCAAGCCTCCATTTTATAAACTCAAAAATTGTTCAACTTGTCCATCACTTGTAATTGAAAACCAAGAGCGTGAGACCACATTCGTGACTTCCTTCAATGTCTTTTCAAAACTACACACTCCTGCATCCTATCAGGATTACATGACTTCCCAGTCTGTCCAAATTCACGCCCACCCACCTCCCACCTCTCCTCTCCTCGCTCTCCTTCCTCTCTGTTAGGATTCACTGCTCTAGACCCTGACCTTTGAGCTACAGTTGCTGTAACTAGTTCAACCTCCTTCCATCCTGCAGCCAGATTACTTGAACTACTAGCGGATATTTTACCTGATTTGCCACCACAACTCTTGAATCATGTTATTTCCTCCGCATTTTAACTATGAGAAAATGGAGGCAAAGGGAGGTTAGTGACTGCCCAACTTTACCCAGATACTAAGTAATAGCACCATGACTTGATTCTAAATTCTATAGTATAATATCTTAATAATCAATTAGAAACTAATTGAAAATTGCCAACCATTTATAATAGGAATTTTAAACCAAATATATTTAGAAATTAACATACAAAAGTATAAAAACTTTCTAGGAAAAAAAAGAAAACTTTATATTAAAGTGCATAAATGAAGACCTTAAGAAGTGAAGAGACATACCATATTCATGGCTGAGGCATCCTAACATGAAGAAGTCAGTTTCCCCCCATAGCTCTAACCAACATGATAGCAGATTTTGGGGAGAACTTGACAAGCTGATTCTATAATGTACATGATAATAAAGTCCATAAGAATCTTAGACAATTTTGATAAAGAAGAGCAAAATGTGGTTTTCTGGGAGGTGAGGTGGCAAAGAAATGGAAACTAGCCCTACCAAATATTAAAACACAAAAAAAGCCCTAATAATTTAAACATGATTAAGTGGACACAAGAACTGACAAACCAACTGAACTGAATAATCCAGAGACAAATCCATGCATATGGGGGAATTTGGCATAAAATTCCTGGGAATAAATCAAATATTTGATACATGGCACTAAAATCAATTTAGTGTTTGGAGAAAAAGAAAGTTGTAAACATACTCATACCATATGGAAAAACTCCAGATCAATAAAGATCTAACTGTGAAAGGAGAACAATACCCTAATAGAAGAAAGCACAGTGAAATATCTTATGGCCAGACATAAGGCAAAGCTTTTTTACCTAAAATTATTCATCAGAAAAGAGAGAATTACCTTCTATATAAGCCCTTAAGTTTTTTCCTTTCCAAGTTATGGCCACTCTCTCAAACCTGTTGGGAGAAGATACATTATCCTAAAATGATTCCAATTAATAAATACATGAGGAACCTCCATACTGTTTTCCACAGTGGCTGCACCAATTTACATTCCTACCAACGTTGCATAAGCATTCACCAACAGTATGGAGGTTCTTCAAAAAATTAAAAATAGAACTATTATGTGATCTAGCAATTCCACTTCTGGGTATTTATCCAAAGAAAACAAAAACACTAACTCAAAAAGATACATGCACCCCATTTTCACTGAAGCATTATTTACTATATTTCTATAGTATAATAATATCTCTATAAATATGGAAACAATCTAATTATCCATCAATGCATAAAGAAATCGTGGTGTATACATACAATGGAATATTATTCAGCCATAAAAAAGAATGAAATCTTGCCATTTGCAAAAACATGGATGGACCTCGAGGGCATTATGGGAAGTGAAATAAGTCAGAGAAAGAAAAATACTGTATAATCCCTCTTATATGTGGAATCTAAAACAAACAAACACGGGGACGTCCCTTGGTGGCACGGTGGTTAAGAATCCGCCTGCCAACACAGGGGACACTGGTCTAAGTCCTGGTCCGGGAAGATCCCACATGCTGCGGAGCAACTAAGCCTGTGCTCCACAACTACTGAGCCTGTGCTCTAGAGCCTGCGAGCCACAACTACTGAGCCCATATGCCACAACTACTGAAGCCCGCGCGCCTAGAGCCCGTGCTCCACAACGAGAGAAGCCACCACAGTGAGAAGCCCACGCACCTCAACGAAGAGTAGCCCCCACTCGCCGCAACTAGAGAAAGCCCGCGTGCAGCAATGAAGACCCAATGCAGCCAAAATTACATAAATAAATTTATAAACAAACAAACAAGCAAACGCAAACGAAAAAACAACCAAGCTTATAGAAACAGAGAACAGAACAGTTTCGTGGTTGCCAGAGACTGCCAAGGAGGGGTGGGCAGGTAGGAGAAATGAACAAACTGGTTTTGGTGGGTTTTTTAGTTTAAATAAATGGGTTTATTTTTTAAATAAATCAAAGAATTTAGAAGCCATTAGCATAATCACAAATAAATACACGAGAATTAGAATAAAAATTGTTTTATGAAATGTGAGAAGTGGAAACAGCAATATGTCTACATTAAAATATTATGTTATAAAATATGTGATTTTAAATTTGTGAGTTAGTAACTAAATAAAGGCAGTTAGCAGACATTTGACTATTTGCCTATAACTTCTATATACCTAAAACTTTAAATTTTGAACTTGGTCAAAAATCTTTTAAAATATTCTCATTGAGAAAATGGAGACTCCCCTTATCACTTTATGTTCCAGCAAAAATTGTAACGTTACTGCCTTGGGGTTCGAAAGGATTTCTTAAGGTTATGAAAACACAAACCATATGGGTTTTGACTGTCAAAATGAAATCATCCTATTTGGGGAAAGAACCATATACAAATTTAACTGATGAGCAGCAAAGTGGAAGAAGGCACTTGCAGTATTTATACTGACATAGGATTGCTATATAAAATATTTCAGAAACCCCCGTACATTCACAAGAAAAAGCCATATTTAAGATAGATAAAAGATATGAATCAGCAATTCACAGAGAGATAAACCTATAAGACGATGTCCAGCCTCACTAGCAAGGAGAGAAAGGCAAGTTAAGTCCATTCTCAACATCTGCATCTTTATTCCTGTCCTGCCCCTATGGGGGAGGGGGAAGGGTAAGCTGGAATGAAGTGAGAGAGTGGCATGGATTTATATATGCTACCAAATGTAAAATAGATAGCTAGTGGGAAGCAGCCGCATAGCACAGGGAGATCAGCTCCGTGCTTTGTGACCACCTAGAGGGGTGGGATAAGGAGGGTGGGAGGGAGACACAAGAGGGAGGAGATATGGGGATATATGTATATGTATAGCTGATTCACTTTGTTATAAAGCAGAAACTAACACACCAGTGTAAAGCAATTATACTCCAATAAAGATGTTAAAAAATAAAAATTTGGGGGCTTCCCTGGTGGCGCAGTGGTTGGGAATCTGCCTGCCGATGCAGGGGACACGGGTTCGAGCCCTGGTCTGGGAAGATCCCACATGCCGCGGAGCAACTGGGACCGTGAGCCACAACTACTGAGCCTGAGCGTCTGGAGCCTGTGCTCCGCCACAAGAGAGGCCACGATAGCAAGAGGCCCGCGCACCACGATGAAGAGTGGCCCCCGCTTGCGGCAACTGGAGAAAGCCCTCGCACAGAAACGAAGACCCAACACAGCCAAAAATAAATAAATAATTTAACATTAATATCTGCTCAAAAAAAAAAATTAAAATTAAAAAAATTTTTTTAAATTAAAGAAAACACAACAGCTTGAGACCACTTGACACCCACCGTATCGCCAACATTTGAAAGTCAAATAATTTCGAGTGTTAGTGACAATAAAGGAAAGTGAGAACTACCTTGCTCTGTTGGTGGGAGTGTAAACTGTTTATGATCCCTGAATCATTGAAATTACAAAGTAGTTGTATGGAAAAAAAAACTAACACATAAACCAAGGCAGCATAGCGCTGAGAACAAGGTCTAGGTTGAGTGTGCCAAGTCTTGGAATTCCGAGTTCAGTCAAGGTCAGTCAGGGCTGGAGTATTAGGAACAGATTCATGGAAGAGGAGGCACTATTTTTTTTTATTAAAGGGGGAACACCAAATGAGAGAGGGTCTGGAAGGCTTCTTGAGTATTATAAGTGACAGTATTATAGAATGCTTGATAGAGAGCATCTAACCTGAGCCCATCACTTTACAGATGAGGAGTTTGAGGCCCAGAGAGGGGGTGTGACTTGTCTAAGTTCACACAGCATAATAAAAGCAGTTTTGAGACTTCCCTGGTGGTCCAGTGGTTAGGACTCCATGCTTTCACTGCTGAATGCCTGGGTTTAATCCCTTGTTGGGGAAATAAGATCCCACAAGCTGTGCAGGGCAACCAATAAATAAATAAAAGCTGTTTTAAGGCTTGACTGGCAGGAAGTTTCTGGATAAGTTGGAAAATGGAGAGAGAGAAATCAGGAAGAACTAGAAAGCAATGAGACAGATGTAGAATGGTAAAGTGAAAAGAAAAGAAAAACATCTCAAAGGGAGAAAATACAATACTTGAAGGTAGATTCAAAGTAGTTTCCAGAAAAGAAGTTAATGATGCTGCTAAATTCCCCAGTGAAAATCCTTGCTAAGTTACTGAGCACCTTTTCTACATGCCAAACACTGTTCTAAGCATTCTTCAAGATGTTAATTTATTTAAGCCTCACAACAACCTTATTAAGGTGGGCACCATTGTTATCATCCTTTTACAGAAAATGGTACCAAGACACAGAAAGGTTAAGTAACTCGCCCAAGGGCACACAGCTAAAATTTGACAGTCACGATTGAATTCCCAGCGGTTTGGTTCTGGACTCCACACTCTTTTTTTAATAAATTTATTTATTTTATTTATTTATTTTTATTTATTTTTGGCTGCATTGGGTCTTCGTTGCGGTGAGTGGGCTTCTCATTGTTGTGGCTTCTCTTGTTGCAGAACATGGGCTCTAGGCATGTGGGCTTCAGTAGTTGTGTCATGTGGGCTCAGTAGTTGTGGCTCGCTGGCTCTAGAGCACAGGCTCAGTAATAGTGGCACACGGGCTTAGTTGCTCTGCAGCATGTGGGATCTTCCCGGACCAGGGATTGAACCTGTGTCCCCTGTATTGGCAGGCGGATTCTCAACCTCTGTGCCACCAGGGAAGCCCTGGACTCCACACTCTTAACCAGTACATATGCTGCTCTTAGAAATGAGATGGTTCAGAGGAGATGCCAACTCCTGGGAAGAAGTGAATATTTTCCCTTAGATTAGATTCTGATACGATGCAAAGAACAGAGACTCTTACACCGATACCAAAATAATTTCACTCTTCACCTTAATGCCACCCCCTCCTCCAAAGCAACTCCCAAACACCAAGAAAAGCAAGAAACAAAGCACATGCAAAGGAAATTACCACTAGTAGACATGTGCCCCCTGCCCCCACCATCCACCCAAGACAGCATCATCACAGTTCTCCTTGGATGGTCCACTCAGGCCAACGAACAGATCGTCTGAAAGGACACGTGAATTCTAGGCCCTTCCAGGCTGTTCACGCTTCATTTCAAGAACTTTGGATTTTACCGTTTTCACAAAACCGGAATGACTGAGTTAGAATAGCATCTGAAGGCTTATTTTTCCATTATGAGCTCTTGTTTTCTCAGCTATGATGTAGGTTGAAGGCAGTTATATATTCCTCAAGGCAGCCTATACTAGGCATAAACATTTTCACAAACAGTAAATTGCAAAAAAGATCCAGAAAAACCTGCAAGCAGCTTCCTCCACCATTTTGTGAGCAGATGATCAGAAAGTGGCTCTGCCTTCATTGCTCACATATTTTGTACAAACTGATAGGAGTAAAAGCCATCGTGCTTTACTGAGACCAGAGAATGGGAATCAGCTGAGGAATTAGGGGTTTTCCCATTTCTCTCCCTAATGAGGACAGACGTGTCAGGTTAAGGCTTGTTGAATTTGACATGACAACTTACTCAAGTTAAAATATCCAGAAATAAATATCATGAGTGAAAAAAGAAGCCACACTGATATTAAGAAATGAGATTTATTGCCTTGACATGGTAGTGATGTGGTCGTGATAGGAAAGCCACTCTGGGTTCCCCTGGATGCAAAAGCCCAGGGACAGCAGAGCCCCCAGCTGAGAAACCTGTACACACACACACACACACACACACCGGCGGAAGGCCCAGGGCCTCCTGCTCTGAGAAGGAGAGATCCTGGGTAGGATGTGACAAACTTGAACACCTCTTGCTTGGATGGCTGCAGCTGTTGGCCTCAGACTCTGGTCAGGAAGAGTCAGTCTGAGGAGAGAGAAGGATGGAGGAAATCAGGGGGATCCTCATCGTCCCCAAAGGCCCTTTCTGGCCTGCAACACACCCTATAGAAGTTGATCTCTCCTTCTCTCCAAATCATCTCCAAGCACCCTTCCTCCAGCCCCCCATATCACTCCTCTCCCATGCAAAGCCATTCTCGTGACCTAGAACTGGGTGTGTGTATTTGGGACCTCAACCAGGAGGATGTCCCATGGTGCCCAACACAGGCCTCCCCACCAAGGGCCTGAGGACCACTGTATGCGCTCCCCAGGCCACAGGTCGGTCCCGGCACACCCACACATGCCCTCTCCAGATGCCCTGACATACCACCTGAGCAAGGTTTTCGGAAGTAGATGATGAGGACTGAGCCAACAATGATGCCCAGCACACCCAGGCCAAAGGCTACACCGCACAGCATGTTCTCCAGAAGATCGGAGGGCAGCGCATTCTGGGGCACTAGAGCAAAAGAGGAGCCGGTCAGCCCAGAGACCTGGTTGGGGAGCCCCAGGGGAATGACACGGGTGTCTGGAATGACAAGGGAGAAACTGAGGCATGGAAGATTGAGGTCAGCTCAGAGTGAGAACAGACTAAACAAGGTTCCAGTGAAGAAAGAAGTCCTCCTGTGGGTCTACCCCCTTCTGCCCCACAAAGGAACTGGGCTTCCATGGAGAAGTGTCTCACCCCAAAAGGCGATTGCTGTGTAGCTGTCAATCTCATGAGTCACGATGCAGGAGAAAAGATCAGAGGGTGCTGGTGTGAAGTTTAAGTAAGAAAAGGCCTGGAAGGTGAGTCCATCGATGGCTGAGACAAAAGTGGGCCTTGCTCCTTCCACAGGGGCCGAATCATGCTGCCAGTTCACGGTCAGTGTGGGTGGGAAGAGGTTACTGATGAAACAGACCAGTGTGTTGGGCTTGCCAAACTCCAGGGGCTTCAGAGTGAACACCTCAGCGATGGGGAGGCCTGTGGGAGTACTGAGGTGAGGGAAAGAAGCGACTAACTTAGATGGGACCCCTGTGTGTGGAGCGGATGTGGCATACGGAGGGGACGCGAGATAGGGGGAGCTAGGGCTCTGAGGGAGGTCTTCGTCTAGGCAAGAACCAGACCTGGACCACAGCCAGGCCACTCTGGACCCTCCACCCTGACTTCCTGCAGCACTTCCTGTCTGGACCTCACATCAGCAACAGATCACACTCTGTCTTCTCATTAAAACGCAGGCACAGGGCTTTCCTGGTGGCGCAGTGGTTGAGAGTCCGCCTGCCGATGCGGGGGACACGAGTTCGTGCCCCGGTCCGGGAAGATCCCACATGCCGCGGAGCGGCTGGGCCCGTGAGCCATGGCCGCTGAGCCTGCGTGTCCGGAGCCTGTGCTCCGCAACAGGAGAGGCCACAACAGTGAGAGGGCCGCGGACGGGAAAAAAAAAAAAAAAAAAAAGCAAGCACATTTTAATTAGGACTTTGGGATGAACAGATACACACTACTATATATAAGATCGATAGTCAACAGGGACCTACTGTATAGCACAGGGAAATCTACTTTATACTCTGTAATAACCTATATGGGAGAAGAATCTCAGAAAGAATGGACATATGTATATGTATAACTGAATCACTTTGTTGTGCCCCTGAAACTAACACAACATTGTAAATCAACTATATTCTAATATAAAATAAAAATTAAATTTAAGAAAATAAAGATAACCACCACCACCATAAAAAAAAAGAACCAATCAGTAAAAAAAAATTGAAAATACTAATTTTAAGGGTAGTTTCAAGGAACTATATGTTTGGATCTATTTGAAAGACACCCTGATCACATCCATACTTTTTAAAAATTTACCTCATCATCCAATTAATGTCAACTCAGTTTTCATACGGTATTGTAGTTTAAATCTTGGCAAATGTACATTAAAAACACATTATGGGGCCTCCCTGGTGGCGCAGTGGTTGAGAGTCCGCCTGCTGATGCAGGGGATACGGGTTCGTGCCCCGGTCTGGGAGGATCCCGCATGCCGCGTAGCGGCTGGGCCCGTGAGCCGTGGCCGCTGAGCTTGCGCGTCTGGCAACGGGAAAGGCCACGACAGTGAGAGGCCCACATATCGCAAAAAAAAAAAAAACAAACAAAAAAAACACATTATGATTGCAAACTATTACGTTTAGAATGGATGGACAATAAGGTCCTGCTGTGTGGCACAGGGAACTATATCCAATTTCCTGGGATAAAAGGAATGTATGTATGTGTATGGCTGTGTCACTTTGCTGTGCTGCAGAGACTGGCACAGCATGGTGTATCAACTATACTTCAAGAAAAAAACACATTATGATGCTCAAACAAATATGGTAGAATAATAAAATAAATAATCATTAACAGAGCTTGATTAACCTATGTAGTTAAGCCTAGTTTACCAAGGCAGTTAGTACCATTTCACTGCCTCAGCTGGGGCTTTCATCTACTATGATCCATCAGCATTTCCTAACAAACTCAAATTTTTTGGAAAAAAAATAATAAAATAAAGTAAAATGTAGGCACATCATCAGATGCTTCTATTCTCCCCTCCATCTTGCTGAGCATCGTAACACAAGCCCTAATACTCAGTAGGCGTCTGTTGGTCTCTGTTGAATTCATTAAGTTTTGAATGCCTACTACATCCCAGGGACTTTTCTTCTGCCCCAAAACAAAAACAGAGTACAGATCATGGGTGGTAGAAAAATCAATATCCAAGGAGAGAACCAGAAAGCAGGAGAGATGGGGAGCTGGTGAGAAGGGGAGTAATTCAGTGTATCATGAGGTTAAGAGGGCAGCCCACCCCCCAAAAAACCCCCTGACCTCTAGACACTGGGATTTGCCCTTCAAGCTCTGGGCCAATTTCCTCAACGATCGCCCGGCAGAATGCTTTGTCAAAGAAAATGTTGGAAGTATCTCGAGACTTGTGAGCCCAGTCAGCAAATTCAGGCAGGCGAGGCACTCGGATATTCTGGGAAAAGTCGAAGGAGAAAAGCTGGTCCTTGTTGTAGGCTTCGGAGAGCCCCACGTTGGGATTCCAGCTCTGGCAGTACATTGTGTGCAGGAACGTGTGGTTTTGCAGCTCATCCCTCCACCCTGGAGTAGGAGCTGCAAAAGAGACAGAGTGGCGTCCAAGGAGGTGGGAGCCACCTCCTCTTTAGCTTAGAAAACAGCAAGGCCTGCTTCAGGTAGAGGGGGGAGAGGTGGGTTGCCTCCCAGTGGGAGCAGAAAAGAAATTACGGGATCTCGCCAAACTTACCCAGCCCATAAAAAGGCCAACTGTTTTAAAGTTGTAACAAGTAATTCAGAATCACAATGTTGGTTGTATCTTTGCACCTAAAGGCACCCAGCCAAAGAGGTAAGTGGCGGCTAAAATCTAACCTGCATTCTGCTCACCAAACCATGCATCCTGGCATAGGGTTACATCCTCCCAAAGGTCTCCACCTTTGCCTGATCCCCGGGAGGCCATCCTATTGACTTGTGAAGGGCCTGGATGGGTTCCCAGTCTTCACGTGGATATGTGAAGGAATGATGGTGGCCTCCCTAAGCCATAGATGGCACTGCCCCATCCCATCCCATCCCCAGACACACATGGCAGACTGAAAAACCACTCTCCAGGCTTCTTTCCAGCCGCTTCGTTGGCACCAGGCCTCTCTGAAAATAACTTCCCCTCCCTCAACCCTGCAGACCTTGCAAAGACAGGACTGGGGGAATGGCACCATAGCTGCAGGAAATAATCTCTAATTCTTTGAAGCTCCTGGCAGGAATCTCCCCAGCCAGGAGGAAAGCTTCTACTCAAAACCCAATACCCAGAATGATAGAGTAAGAGGGGTCTTCCAGATTATTCTTCCATCCTGCCCCATCCTTTTCAAAGAAGGAACTAAGGGCCAATAAAGTTAAGAGAGTTTTCAAGAATCATAAGGTGAATTGATGACAGAGTGCAGAGTAGACTCCTAAGTAGGAACAGTGGAAATAACATTTGTTTTGCTCAAATCCCTGCTCTACCACTTTCCAACTGGGTGAACTTCCACAAGTTACTTAAACTCTGAGTCTCATTTCCTTCATCTGGAAAGTGGATATAATAATCTCTGCTTCAAGAGATTGTCTTCAGTGAAACCTACAAAGCACCTCTGGCATTGTTTGCCATCCATCCATAGTATAGCTCTCTTTCCCAATTCTGCTATCGTTTCCACTCTCTCATAATACTTTCACCACTTACAAAGCACTTTCACCGCTTTCAAATGCCCCGGCTCCCTAGGTTCTACCCCAGTCAGGATGGAAGTAAAGGGGAGGTACTGCCATACCTTCAGGGGCAGTCCAGGACTGGGGCAGCAGCCACAGAAGGGGTAGCAGCTGTAGCAGCGCAGCTCCCTGGCTCAGCACATGATCCATATCTTCACACCTCCCAGTGGGCTTGGAGCTACCAGACGGCTGACCCAGGTCCCCAGATTCCTTCCCAGATCATGTTTCTCCAGCTCACTTCCCATAACTTCGCTTGTCATTCTGGCTAAGCCAATCACAGAAAGTGTAGGATTTGACGTCATCGGTCGCTGGGGAGAGACCAGGAGCGAGCACCCTTCTTAGGACTTGGCTCTTTTACCAGGCCAGCCTAGGGGCTGTAGATGGGTTGGGGAGGCAGTGGAGGAATGTCTGCCTCCTGGTGAGGATCCCTCTTTAGTATCTGGCAGTCAGCCTCAGCCTGTAACCCCACCAAGGGACTCTTCTGAGCAGCACCGCCCTGTGGCCGAATAATAAACTGGGGAAGTTCATCTTCCCATGGTAACTCCCCAGGGCTCTTCAGACCCTGTCTTCTACCTCCCAAGCCCCCTCCTCTTTCTCACAAAATTTATTCTCCTTCAGGCTTTAGCTCTCTTCCTTCTGCAGAAATAGACTGAAAATGTAACAAGCGTTAGGTCCAGGGCTAGAAATACCAAGATGCATAAGGCATATTCCTGCTTTCAAAGAGTTTAGAGTCTAAGTTGGGGGGAGTTGGGGTGGTCACTGAATAAATAATTACATACACTGTAACGTATTCAGATAAGACCATGCCAAGTGTGTTTTGGAAGTACTTATTTCATGAGGATGGAGAAATAGGTGAGATGTAATCAGGAAGGCTACTAAGAGTCTTGAAGGAAAAAGTTAGACCAGCAGAATGGGAGAGAAGAGAAAAGCCTTCCATGGCAAGGGGTAGGTAAATGGGTGACGGTCAAAGGCATTCAGAGCTCCTTTCTTTGGAGACCTCTGTATAGTTGGGCATGAATGTTTGGAGGCTGCTCATGTTTTCCTGTTTGGTAACGGGCAGGGGGTGGGGGTGGGGTGCCAAGATGAGCTAGAAAAAAATTTTTTTGAGGAATTACTCACTTTTTAAAAAAAATTTTGATTGGGGTATAGTTGATTTAAGATGAGCTAGAAATTTAGGCAAGAGCCAGATCACATAGGCTCTGTTATGCCACAAGGAGGGTGTTTTTGTTTTTTGTTTTTTGGGGGTTTTTTTTGCCAAGCCAGGCGGCATGCGAGATCTTAGTTTCCTGACCAGGGATGGAACCCGTGCCCCCTGCAGTGAAAGTGCAGAGTCTTAACCACTGGACCACCAGGGAAGTCCCAAGGAGGGTGTTTTTTATTTTACAGATGATAGAGACTTTAAACCGAAGGGTGACACAATCATTTTTTTTTTTTTTTTTTTTTG